GGTAGCATGAAGTGTTGCTGTAATGTAACTGGAATGCATGAATGTCACCCGAAGGTACGAAGCACTTAGTGAGAATTTGCCTGACGAGTACTGCTAGAGTAGAGCAGACCATGACCAGTATCTTTCACTTTACGCAGCTCAACAGTATCACCGCAGCACGCACACATTGGAATCAACAGACAGAGGCATCACAATGCGAACTACAGGGGTACATTATCTTTATGTTATCGACTTCCTAACTCGCCTACTGCAGGCACTTTAACATGTACCGAAGCCTGAAAAAACGCATTGAGGCATGGCTGAGCTTTTCCGGCATATCGATGCCGGTGAGGTAGCACTCAAAGAATAGTAAAACAGCTGCTCCACAGCTTGAGAAGTCCGGCTGGCGTACATTAGTGACTCTCTGAATCGGCAAGGGTATGGAGCTGTCTTCACCTTCTAAAAACACGTCTTTCAGTAGTTCTTCGCATTTGGCGTAATATTTTGACTTGGGGTCTTGCCAGGGGTCGAACACCAGGACTCCTCGACGTTCGCTGCGATAATCGAAAATTGCTCCACACCAGTGGTTGTTGTCTATGTGTAGCGGCAACAGAATGATCTGGTTCGTTTTCTTGAAAGGCTTGCCTGCATTAATAGCCCTGAGCCGGGCGTCTTTATCGTGGAAACGATTGAAGATCGGGCTAACGATGCCAACATCCGGGTGTTCTCGTTGGAGTAGAGCAATCCCATGCCCCATGCATGAATCATCCATCCACATATTTTCTCGAAGCGTTAGTAGTCTGTTATAGGGCACACTACCGAACGAAGTCTCGCGGCCACCCTTCAGAAGAATCCGCCTGATAATAACTTCCCGTTCTGTCGGATCGCTGCTGACTCCGTCATCAATCTTTACCGGTAGAGACAAGCGCTTGACGCTAGTGTTGACAGCCCAAGTAATCGCATCTTCAGTGGCAGATAAATACTGCATGGAGGCGTGCCATCGGTCCATCGCGACAATGTCCTGGTATTGGAATATCCCAAAGCGAGGAACCCTTACACCAATAGTGTCGTCATCGACAGTTTCAATCAAGCCTTTTCGAAACGCTGCGACCGCAGCCAGGCATTTTTCCACAAATTGTTTTGGAAACACAAATCTGACGTCACAGATGCACTCATCCTCAAGATAAATACCAGCATTCGCCTTCTTGGTCTTTGGAACAGCTCGAATAGTGAGATTGGGTAGCACCTTCTTGGCGTCTTCATAGGTGTAGTTGTTGTCCAACAGTTTAGCAATGTTCCGTACGCTTTGGAACTGGTGCCAGCGTCCCTTGTACCAACTTGGGAAGCCTTCTTCTTGCTATTCTCGATCCTCTGCATCAAATCTGCTTTACATGCTCGATTCTGACTTGGGGACGTCCCCGACTTTCTGCGCTCTTGGTTATCACAAATGACCCAGACTGCGAGGATTCTGACGAGCTGCTGCTAATGTGCTGGCGCTTGGACTGGCTTGGATTTTGTTTGAAATCAGACATACTTGCTGCATCCACCTCTGGGGTGGTTAAAGTCACACAGGAATTGCCTCTAGTTACACACAGTGGTTCTTGTGTAGCAGGAGGGGTCAAAGTCACGTGGGAAGTACCTCTAGTCACACACGGTGTAACTGTAGGCTCTTGCATTGTAGCTGTAGCACATTGCATTGTAGCTAGAGGTGCGCTCTGTTGAGTCGGAGGTTCGTCATCGTCCGAGTTCGCTGTGGAAGTGTTCTTGATTTTTTCTTCATCTTCCGTATCGCTTTTCATCACAGCATCCTTTGGTTCAACAGCATTGGTATTTAACGTAGGCGAAAATGTCAGCGACGATAGCTGTGAAAGCGGGTCTACCCATTCACCTTCTTGACCAACAAATGGTGCAACACCGTCCTTGATAATGTCTTCAAATTTCTCCAAGGCGCTCATCATTTCTCCAAATACAAACGTTCAGTTCCTCCTCATAATGTCTGCAATACTCTTTCCACACTCGAGAGCGTGCTTGTACTTCGTCGTCCCATTTAAAACGTGATGGCGCCTTGCTGTCATAGCAGAGTCACGGACTTGGAAGGTTGTGCACGCAACTGTTTTGTCTGGTACGTCTTCTTCTGGCGCAGGTTGATTCAGCTTGCACGACAACCTCCAACGGGGTGCAATGTACCGAATAGGAATTGCCTGTTTTCCACGTAAAAGACGCCAATACATGACGTGCCGGCATGGAAGCAACATCGTCTTCATGAATACACATGAGCAGTTATATCTCTAAAGGCACGCAATAACAGCGACGTACGTTAGGGTTTACACGGGCCAGAACGGGTGACAAACTTACCGTAGTGTCGACATGATAGCATGTACTGGTGTCGCCACCTCCGGTCAGGACAAACAGGCTGGAATGTATTTCCTCCACGCCGTAACTTGTCTTGCGATCCTTAGACGCCCAATACTGCTCTTCAACAAGCCGGTATGCATACGGCTGACTTCGCGCGCTAGCTGTACAAGCTCGTGATCTGCACCATCATAACGCATCTGGCCCACGTCTGTAATTTTCTTTCCGTACTCCATCTCTGCTACTGCTTGCAAGAACATCAGCGTATCTACGCACTCATCCAGCGCCATCTCCGGCTTCAGAACCTCTTTGATATGACCCCATGATGTTTCAAGCCTACAGACCACCAAACCACCAGGCAAAAACACAGTTAAAGGTGAGTCTAGAACCTATAGCGCAAGAAATTGTACCTATTATTGGTGTGGTTGCCTAGATGTGGAACATCCGAACGTGCGTACAGCGCCCATCGTTCTTTCATCGAATCCCAGTTCTTCATGAAGTACTTCAAAAATGGATGCGTAGGCACAGGTGCAGGGTCTTCACGTTTAAGACGAACACCTTCCAGCAAGAAGTATAGATACTTCAGATACTTAACGTACTCATCCGTAGAAACCGCCAGCCGCATCATATCGATAGCATCTTCAACTTGGTCTTTGTCGAAGCTGGACGGGCCTCCATACTCGCTCTTTGCCAGCTCGGTCCGAATATACTTCTTCAAATGGAAGTGACACAGAATCACTTTCACGCCAGGGGACTCCATTTCTAGTAATCCCAATTCACCCATGTCCTTGTCAATCACAATTACCCTGACTTGCTCCCACGAAGAGTTGTTAAACTTGAACGACCCGATAGCATCTGAAAGACACTCTGCACTTTCGTTCTCCATGAGACTGTGGTGTACGTATTGACCCTAGCATTACGTTAACAACTCATAAGTAAGAATTTGTACATATCAAGTACATGTTGTAGCTGAAGCTACGCAAACAGTAAAGGTGTAACTAGAGGCACATAGGATGTAGCGTCAGGTACATTTACTTACATGTCCGTACACATCGTTAACCATGAAGGAGAAGAGCTTGTAGCGCGATTCGTTGGTCTTATGCGTCGCGTCAATGAGCATCACTTCAGGAAAAGCCTTGAACCAGCGTCGCATTTGTCTCGTCTGCAACGCGATGGTCTGTGCAGTTTTGGATTCGTCGACGTAAACGGTTGCTCGGTTTCCACGACATTCGCAAATCCCTCGCAAGACAGTCTCCAGCCGTTCTTCAGTATTCGCACCTCCCCTTCGTCTCTCCTTAATCCTCGCCACCATGTTGTGTACATCTCGAAGCACCACATTTTTTCCTACATGGAGTCCAAAACAAGAAAGCTATCAGTCACTATATATAATTCTGGGTTGAGTTAAACGCACCCACCTGTCTTCTTTCGCAGAAATTAGCTTCGGCTTAGAACCAGCAGCTTGGAGTTCATCCACGAATGCCAGTATGTCCGGATCCTCCACGCGACGGTTCGACACATGGTTCTCAAATGTAGCGCGAGACACATTGTGGTTGTGTCTGACGTCAAAGTCAGTGAGTGACGCGTACCATGAACGTGTCGTGTTCATCGTTCCACACGACAGCAGCATTAATGTTTGCCTTACAGCCTGTAGTCTTCTCAAAAAACGACCTTCGTATCCCCTTTCCACGGCTCTTGCGCTTCCACCCGTGAGTGCAGACCAACTTAATCCAGAAATTTCCGAACTCCTCAGGGATCAATCGATCCGACGTCTCATCAGTAACTGTGTTAGTCGTGCCGGAATCATCTGGGTCCTTCGCATTAACACTCAGGTTTGCTCGCGCCTTAATTTCTCGATTTCTCTTTTGAACCGACGTGGACGTGCGCTGTGGAAAGATCTGGTGTGTCTCCTCTTGGTAGCGCTCCATGTATTTGCGGAAGGCATCCCAGCTCTCATGCCACTCGACATCAACTGGGGGACAGAGCCACGAGACCCCAGGAGGGACTTGCCGCTCGGGTTCACTGTCGCTCATTCTGATTGCTCACATGAGAACCACAGAATACGCTCTTAGCTTACCCCCCCCCCTCTAATCTACATGAACATGCATGCTTACCTTCAGAGCTGTCGTGTGTCTTCGTCTCGTATTAGAGTTTAGGAGGGGCGCGTGGCTGATGTAGTGCGCGGGAATTTTTTTGGAATGAAAGGCTCATAGATTTTGGGGATGGGAGAAAGGGGGGAGAGGGGGTGTCTTTTTCAGAAATCTTGTTTTTCAGCATTTTATCGTCAAAATTACGAAGGTTCTACTGTAATGTTTCGTGTAAGTACTATTTTACTAACCAGTTCCTAAAAAAAATGAGCGGCTCGACTTTACTCCATGCAACTAAGCGGTCCCATCCGAATCACCTCTCCGGGACGGGAATTGTGCTTTGCGTTTGTCTCCACTCGCGAAATTTTGCTTCTAGCAGCGCCAATGCGTTCTCCAGCGCTCGCGCTGCTAGTGACGGTGCTGGTATTGAGCTTGACCCTCGTCCAGGGATACGATGACAAGGTATCCTCTGCCACCGATAATGCAGGTAGGACGAGAAACTTACAAGAGTTGACGAATATCAACAAGGCAACGGTAGGGTCCAAGACATTCGCCTTGTTAGACAGTTACGACTGCGACAGCGGCATGGTGACGACCGTGAGGAAGTTCTTTAAGGCCAACGACGACACGTTCGACACGTGCATCGCCGACAGCAACTACCAGCTCTACCCGTATACGGGCGTCATACCGGACGCGACGATCGTTACGGGACTAGTAAACTCGAACGCCTGTATGGGTATCATCACCGCCGTCGTGCTACTCAACATGCCTCCATGCATTCTCGACGACTTAGCGATGCGAGCAGCGTGCGAGACGATTCTGTATTACTCTGTAGCGCTGCGGCACGGCGTCGACGCCCCAACGGCTGAACAGTTTGACGAGCTCATGACCTGGCGGCGTAGCGTGAATTTCGCCAAAGCGGCGGGCAAACCGTACGACGGCAAGTCCAAGACGTACTCGGCATTCACGAAATATATGGGCAAAGCGATCACTACCAGTAAAGTCACGGTAATGGACAACTTTACAGTGGTCTTGGACACGGAGGAGGCGGATTCGATCGAGATGAAGGACGGGAAACAGCCTTCTTTCGTCTCCACCAACTCGTCGATGGATTTCTTCGTCGGTCGAGTCTCTGCTGCCGAGAACGGCGTCGATGATGCGCCCGTAACTACAGCGTCCAAGACTGTGACAACAATTCAATCCTCAGACACTATGACTATGATATTTCCACTCACATCACTAGCTACAATGCTAGTAATAGTAGCAGCATTAGTGTAACTGTTGATACCAGAGGTAATTATGAAAGACAACAATTCTTCATACATGTAACCAAAATGCAAAACTCTATTCCTTTTTGACACCTCAAAATTTGGCCTTGCGCTTCAAGCTCAGCTCCTTCTTGGCCTGTTTGCGGTCTTCCTTGGAGAGCGTAAGCGGCGCAATCGCTGTACCTGCGTGCTTCATGATCTTGGGAGCTGTCAGCACGTTCGTCACCTGTGAAGTGTTCCAGTCGCTGCCCAGAGGATTGCGCATCGCAGCCTCGTACTCCGCTCGAGACGTGAACGGGTACGGCACGTCCTTGACCGTAAACTTGGCCGCCTTCTTGTCCTTCTTCTCGTTGATGAGCACCTTCTCAAGACGCGCATCCTTACGACCCGCCAGCGCCTTCTGCTTGGCCTCACGAGCGATGTCTTTGGCTTGCTGTTCACGCGCGATCTGGCGCTTGGAGACTCGCACCCCATCGCCAGCCCAGCTGCCCCATCCAGACATGCCCACAAGCTTGGCGATCTCTGCTCCCTTCTTGGCATCAGCATCCTGACTTGCCAGCCGGCCCTTCTCCTGCGCAAGCTCATCCTCGTCCTCAGCCACAAACTCGAACGCACGACGCACGAGCTCGTCCTGACCTGCAGCTTTGGCTTCTCTCTTGGCCTTTTTCTTCGTCTTCTTGTCAGAGACCACCTCGACTTCTGTAGGCTCAGTCTTCGATTGGTCGAGTTTCCGCTTCTTGCTTGTCTTCGAACTGCTAGTGAGAGTAGCGATAGCAGAGTCCTCTTTGCGTGACTCCTTTGTGTCCTGCGCTAGAGACTCGATCGCAGCAGCGACGTCTGCTTGTGCTCCCTTGCTCTGCGTCTTCTTCTTGTTCCTCTTACTACGTTTACTCTTGGTCGCTGCATTCGACAGCCACGGGTTCTCCTCGCCTTCTGCAGCTGGCTCCATGTCAGCGTCCTCCGTATCAGTCCTTGCTTGAGTCTCAACAACTGTAGTCTTCTCCTGCGTAGATTTGGCACCAAGTTCCAGCTTCTTGCTCTGTTTCTTGTCTCCATTCGCTAGTGCAACGCCACTGCCGCCGTCTCCAAGGTCAATCGCAATCGCACCCGACGCACGAGCCGACACACCGCCATTCATGCTCACGTTCGCCGTCTGAAGCGCTCCACCAGCCAAAGCACGATCAACTGCAGCCTTGTCTTGCTCCGTGGCCACCACCTGCTTTGTCTTCTTAGCGCTCTTCTTGCTCTTCTTAGCACCCTCGTCACCAGAGCTCAGGTAATCCTCTCCCTCCGACAGGATACGGTCTCCGTCAGCGCCGTCACCCGAGCGGATCTCACGCAGCAGCTTCTCCGCTTCACTACGCGCCTTCTCTCTCTGCTTCTCAGCTGCGCGTTGCATGAACTTCATGCCTTGTAGACCGCGTTTCTTCCCAGCCTCAGCAGAGTCCTCGTCGATCTCCGTAACGAGAGCGCTGGCTTGTTTCTCCAAACGCTTCTGCAGTCGAGAGGCTGCATCGCCTTCCTCCTCGTCCTCGTCCTCGTCCTCGTCCATATCATCGTCACTGTCCACAGCGTTCATCTTACGACGCAGCTCCTCGCCCCGACGAAGCTGATCAGCGATCGCACTGCGCGTCGCATCGTCCGCCTGGATACCACGTCGAAGCTGGTGCTTGACCCACTTGCTGGTGTTGCGATGCTTGAGTGTAAGTCGCTCCTCTGCGCGCTTCTCCGCCAGTTCCTCGTCCAGCTTACGAGCCAGCTCCGGGTCCAGCGCTCGCAGTTCCTCCTTCTGCTTGGCCATCGCCTTCTTGTCCTGCGCATTGCGGATCTTGTGGTACAGTTTGCTCTTAATCTTCTTGACGCGCCTCTGCTTCTGCTCTTCGTAGAACAGCAGCGAGCGAAGCTTCGCCAGCTCCTTCTGTCGCGCTACCACTTCCTCGGTCGATACTCGTTTACGAGCGAGCTCCTCTTCCTCGTCCTTGGCTAATTTCTTGTCGCTCAAGTCTCCAGCCTGCAGTAAGGCCGCCACACTCTTCTCCATGTCCGTCTGAGCCACAAACTTGCTCGTCAATGCAGCTGGCGTGAGCTTCTCGAGCTTCGGCGCCTGTACGCGAAGATCCAGCGTCTCCTTGTTCCTGTTTCGACGCACTACGGGCTCAAAGATGTCCACTTCCTTGCTCTTCTCGACGTATGCGAGTTTGCGTTGCGCACGGGCGTCATGCACCGGGTCTCTATCGGCCTGAAGCGTCAGAGTCGTGCCATCTCCCTCCAGTTCACGAACCTGCTGTCTCACACGTCGCAGATCGAGTCCAGTCTTGGTTTTCTCGTCGGCTTCTTCCTCCTCGGCGCCCTCCGCTCCAGGCTTGAGAGTCTGAGCGCCTAAGAGACTGCCTAGCGTCAGTTCTCCTTCTGCAGACTCGCTGGCGAACTGTGAGTCGATCTCCTCGAGTTTCTTCTTGTTCTTCTTCTCGACAAGAGAGTCCACCATCTCTCCCAAGTTCTTGATCTTCTCTTCTTCATCGTCTTCGTCATCACTGGCAGTGGAGAGACGCGATGCAGGAGTTTTGCCTAAAAGGTCCGATAGAAGGTCTCCTCCCTCTTCTTCTTCTTCTTCGTCGTCATCTTCTTCTTCTTGTTGCTTTGCTTTCTTATTATTGAAGAACATTCCGTACGAAGCCTCATCGTCGCTGTTGAACGCCTCGTCCTCGTCCACTTCGGAGTCTTCCTGGTCAAACGTTGGCTCTTCGTACTCAAACACTTCGTCCACATCGGCACGAGCGTTTATGGCGCGTTCCTGGTGCGCAGCCTGCTCCTCGTCATCGCTAAACACGTCCTTGGATGCGCGAGATGTTGTGCCTTTACGCTTGGCGGTGGGTTTGCTGGAACTCGATGCGGCCTTCTTGCCCTTGCGTGCAGGAGCTCGGCGCGCCATGCTGGTCACTTGGTCTGTGGTTGGTGCACGGGTGAGCTTCACACTAAGTGCGAATGAAAGAAGACATGGGTACATTGTGTACCAACACAAATGATGCAACTACTTTTCCGACTGTAAAACTGCGTTTTGACTTCACACCAATTTCAATCCCTACTGCATCCTAGTGGATGACTCTCGTCCTGTGACCTCGCGTCCTTCACCCTACTGATGTTTTGTGGAGGTCATTTTTACAATGAGTATGGCTGGGTAATAATAAAGCACCAGCTGCACCACTTGGTCAATTGTATTCGCAAGGCTGTTGATACGGCGAGGCTTGCTAGAGCTACGACGAAGACAAGTGGCTTGAAAGAAAACTAGCGCTACCATCAGATCGTGCGAGTCTTTTCGAAGAAGCAGATGTCTTTATGGAGCCAGGATCGCAGTACTGGTTCAAAAGGGGCTTTGGAGTGATGGCTTTTAGTATTGCTAAACGTATCCTCAGAGACAAAGTTTTGTCAGCAAACTGATCAGTCGTGAAGCCTTCGCTGGTAGATTGCGTAGTGAATACATACCGTACCTGTTACCTAGGTCTTTCTTAGTCGATGGGATTTGGATATCGATGTGAAGATCTAGCTTAAGTACCTTGTTCAATTTGAAAGTGAAAGAAAGAAGAATAAGACAACGAAGTATGTTTCAGTAACTCTTCAAGAGCGTATTGTGGTGTAGCGGGATCAGCAAAATCTGCGAGATTGCTGGATCCAACTTACCAACTGCGCCCAGACACCGACTAACGGAGGGGGTCCCCCGATGATCCGTGTTCTGCTGAACTTTCCTCACCTTGTGTACCCGTCGGTAGGGCGGGATCTGCTCTCTCGGTAACTTCCGAAGAGTTCAAGTGGTGAAGCTTGAGTGTCTTGGCGAGACGTGAGGATGGGGTGGAGCAGCAGTGGAAAATCTTCACTCTGCGTCCGTGAATGGTTCCGAATCCTAAGCGAATATTCGAGCTTATGGATCCGGGGCCTAGATCGTGGATCTGGCCGTAGGGTTGCCTTGCGGGTGTGTTCCCTTGCCTTTTCGTTTTCCTTTGCGTCGTACTTGCCGCCTCCTGTGACGGGATCTTGAGAGCTGAGACCTTCTAGGGTGTAACCGACCAAGTAGTAAATTCGGTTAACCTGTCGGACTGCACGTGTATAGGAAAAGCTCACTAGGATGTAGGATCTGGCCAATGTATTATCCAGTTATCACTACCAACACTAGATTCGCAATTCCCAACCTTCTCTTAGCTCGTACGGCCAATGTAGCTCCGATTCTTGAGGGCAGAAAGGCACTTGCGTGTTATTGTGCAAATTGAGGACTGTATTGATACTTAAGCCTATACCTGCCTGGATTTCTACCTTCTATGTCTTTCACTTGTTAAATCCCTTACCAGGCTCGGCTGCATGTCCCTTCTTCCCTTGACCCATCATCACAGCTGTATTATCTTCAGATCCACCGGATCCATGGCGTAATCATTATGGTCAGGGTACACTCATCCGGATCCAGGTCGCTTGAATCCACTTCACTGTAAGTGTACACTTGTCATGGATCTGAGCTCTCCAATCATCCAACATCGTCTTGCAACCGTCTGTGATCTCCATTGTCCCACGAAAGTTCGAGATCCACTGCATCCATCATCCCTGTATCCTGGATCCAGGTCCCTCTATGCGGGATCCTCCCTCCTTGGATCCGAACTCGGAAGTATGGGGTACGGGACACCTCACGGTGGATCTTGACTTCTTGTTAGCGGTGGTTACTAGATCCACCTTCAGATGGCACCTACCATTATTCCTTCATAGGATCCACACTCGATCCACCCGTACATAGTATATCCCATATCCATCTAAGTGAATCCAGGTAAGGGTGGATCCGAGATAGTTCTTGGTGGATCTTGCCTTCCCGTACATCACTCATACCAGATCCACCGTCATTTCATACGGGGTGCTGCTCGTCATGGCTAATCCACCACAGGCAACTTGCATCCGTGCCAGACAATCCAAATCCTCTCTAATCACTTGAAATTGTCACTGATTCGGGATAGTGACCCCGCGTCAGGTTCATTCTCTTATTTCTGAGAAAGCATTTCACCACAATCGCCTCCTGTACGTGGTCGGCGCTGCACAACAGCGTTCACGACGTGCACTACGAGCATCCGCAACCGCCTTCTCCTCTTCGTGGCACATGTCTCCCACCAAGCGTACCAGCCAATCGCCGGGCAAGGCTCCATCCACCACTCCTCCGGTCAGCCCCTCTTCAATGTCGCCCACCGATCTGCGTACTTTGGCCCGATCGGGTGCAAACCTTGACGGCGGAGCTCCAGACGGCCCAAGATGTTAGCGACCAAGCTGCGTCTTTGCACGCCACCCAACTCCAAACCTTGCGAGCCCAGGTCCATGACCAGGCTATGGAGATCCAGGGGTGGGAGCACCGTGCGGCCTCTCGTTCGCAGGACCTACGACTCTTGTTGGCCGATCAAGCGGTCGAGATCCGCGACCTGACCGGACGGCTGGATCGCGCCTCCCGTCAGCGAGATGGTATGCGAAATGACAACGACCACCTCCTTAGGGAGATGGCGCTCGCCGGATCGGAGATCCACCAGCTCCAATCCCGGATCCCACGACCTCGAGCGGGATCTGGAGGATTCCCAGACTGCTAGTGCAGCCGCGGACGAGAGCTTGGATCGACTCCGTGACGAGTTGCGCCTGACCCAAGAGGAGGTGGTAGCTAACGACTATGTGGGACCCACCCATGGCGGATCCGCATTAGGGTCGGCGCGTGGAGGGTCCCCCGCGCCAAATCCACCTCCCTCGTCGCCGGATGTAGCTCTGGCTCGACTGTCTGAGGAGCTGAAAGATACCAAGGAGTCGCTCGAGAAAGCGTCTGCTGGGCGAGACTACGCGCTCGAAGAATTCGTACGTATAACTCAACTGCGCGACGAGATCCAAGCGAAGTTGGCGGACAGCGAACTTCAGCGGGACAAGGCGGCTACCGAGTGGGCGGATGCCAAGCAAACGCAAACGGGGCTGGAATCCAAGCTCCGCCGCACGAGTACGTGGATCATCTTTTGGTCCCCACTAGTAACCCCATAATCACTTGTTATGTCAATCCAGGTGACAAATTGAAGGATGCCGATGCAACCGCAGCGAAACTCCCGGATCAATTCGATGCAGCTCATGCTCAGCAGCAACAGCTGGTTCTGGAGCGCGATGGTGGCTTATCGGAGCGGGATTTGGCACGCCGACGACTGGCGCTGGTGACAGATGCTGTCTCGGATCCCCTTCCTCCCCTGTCTGGGCCCTCTCATGCCGCCAGCGTTTCTGCTCCTCTACCGTCTGTAAGTGGGGTGGATCCGTCGGCTGCGAAACGACCGCGCAGTGCGTCTCCTGCTCCTGGCACTGGATCCACCCGTCCTCACAAGCATGCCCGAGCCTCCCCAAAACCCAAGCCCAAAACGATTTCGGCCTCTAAGGCGGCCTCGCAGGCGGGATCCACATCTGCGTCCAAGGCGGGATCCACATCCACGTCCAAGACTTTAGCCTCCCCCTCGAAGTCTAGTGCCGGATCCAAGTCCGGCTCCACCGCTACATCCAAGTCGACATCAGTGTCTAAGACTGGATCTGGACCCAAGACTGGATCTACGGCGTCCAAGACTGGATCCGTTGCGGCATCCAAAACGGGATTCACGGCGTTTAAGTCCGGATCGACTGCCAAGGCGGGATTTACGGCGTCCAAGTCCGGATCGACTGCCAAGGCTGGATCCGTCGCTGTATTAAGTCGGGATCGGCGTCCAAGACCGGATCCACGATCGCGCCGTCGTCCCAGGCAGTGGTGTCAACTGGATCCACAGCAATCGCTGCTCCTACGACGGGGTTAGCCCCATCCACAGCTAGGTCCAGACCGTCTCAGTCGGGATCCACTGCTGGCCCTTCGGTGACGACGCCTGTCGTCTCACAGCCAGCTTCCACCGGCCCTCCGCCGGCCCGCACTGGATCCAGGAAAGGGTAAGCCAAACGTGTCATTCCCACTGGATGTGGACTTGGCAGCTCGGAGGACGACGAGGATGAGGGATCAGACTGGTCCGACGGCTCGGGGCCTCCTGTCCGATCGTCGTCGAAGCGTACGTCGTCCTCCGGCCCTTATTCCTTCACTTTGGGCGATGAGGACGATGACGACGACGATGACGATGAAAGTCCGGAGGATTCGGAGGAGGCTCGAGCCGCTGATGACGCCTTGGAGGAGGACACGCGACGGGCCTTGTCCCAGTCCAGATCCGAAGCCCGGCGGAGATCCCTCTCGACACCGCCTCCGCAAGTCGCTGGTACATCCGGGTCCGGAGGCGGTACTGCGGGATCTGCGATCCAAGTCGACAGCGATGGTGGAGGGGGGTCGCCTCATGGTGGCGGATCCCCCGGATCTG